ACCCCCTCACCCCACCCCACTCCCTACACACGGTCCTCTCAGGCCTAGCAGTTCAGTCAAAGACAATGCTGAGGCAATTAATGGAGCCCTTTGAGGACTTGTCACTAGAAAGCTCTTTAACTCAGCCACCTGATGGGGAGGGGGAGGGGCGCCAGGCCCATGCTGCAGCTGTGGGGCGGGGCACAGGCATAGTATAGAAGAGGGTCGGGAAGCCTAGATTACCTTGGACATACAGACTATGTGGACATAACAGCATTGTTTTCCATTGTTTGTGGTTTGTCTCTTAACTAGAACTTCTGTCTGGCCAACCTGCCACAGAACTGAGATCTGAGAAGTGGGACCTGAACAATAAACCTGCTGGCCACATGGACCATCACAGGAAAAATCCCCCCAGCATGTGGGGACCTTAGAGAGGGGACATCACATGATGACACAGTGGTATTAGGGATGTGGGGTACAGTAACACATCTCAAATCTGACTGCTCCAACACTGCTTCTGTGAGTCCTGGGGAGCTGGTGGGGAAGGGGCGTCAGGTCAAGGCGAGAACCAGACAGGGGAAGAGCAGATTTTACGAGAGAGGGTCCCGGGTCCCCAGGCCTGTCTCTGCCAGTGTCTGACTCCGTGCTGTCTCTTACACAGCAGCCGTTGTTTGTAGCCAGGCCAGGCAGGGGCAGCAGAGGCCCAGATGCCGAGGTCCGGAACTGCGTGCAGTGTGCGTGTGCCGTGGGTGTGATGCGGTGTTGGGCGCCTGTGCTCTCAGGGCCTGCCCGCCTGGCCCTCCCTCTGACCCTAGCGGAGGCTCCAGTGGTCTCTCAGGACGCCTTTTAGGGCCGATGGACGCCTTTGGTCCTCGCCAGCTCCTCTGCTCGCCAGTAGAGGGCAGCAGCGAACACAGCCAGGCACTGGGGGCTTTCTGCAGCCTCCTGGCGCTCCCGTGTCCTCATCCCGCTTGTCCCCGTCCTTCCCAGCCCCCAGGGACGTGCAGGACACTGAGGTGTGGGCCACTGAGACCACAGATCCAACTAAGTGCCTGTCCCCGGCTTTGGGCACAGTGAATGTGTAAGTCTGTGAGGGTGAGAAGGTGAGTTAGTGAAGAAGCTGGAGGGGCCAGAGGAGGCCAGAGCCAGAACGCTGGGGTCATACTCATTGGCTCCTGCAAGGATGAAGGCCGAGGGCGAAGAGGAGAAGCTGAGGGTCCCAGGCAGCCTGCAGAGAGTTAAGGCAGGACCTAACCCCTGGCCAAATGGCTGGTGATGACTAGGCAGGCAAATCACCCTGACTGCAAAGGCAGGCGACTTGAAGAGACCAGAGAAAACCACGTGGGTTCCAGAGACAGACTGCCCAGATTCAAACTCTGGCTCCTCCATGTATTAGCTGTGTGACTTTGGAGAAGGTATTGAACCTCTCTGTGCCGGTTTCTTATCTGGGATATAGAGACAATAACACTACTATCTTCTACACTAGACATGAGCAGTAAATAGGTTAATATTAATACATACAAATCACTAAGAACAGTGTCTGGCACACTAGTAAGAACACTATAAATGCTAGCAAGTATTGTTTTCTGCGCTTCATCTTAGCCAAAGGCTAAAAAGCGATTCAGTTATTGTTTTCTGAAACAGAGATCAGTGTGATGTTCAAATAGCTAGTTTCCGCTGGAAGCCCTCCATGCAATATGTGGGAATTGGTCACATGCAGGCATTAAATGGTGACATATGAATGTGCGTATTAGTAAGTTTTAAGAGTATGTGTAACACTGGAATGAGTATGTGTAGTTATCAAGGTCTGTCAATATTTAAATCAACAAAACGGTCAGTCGCCTTTGAATCTACACACTCTTTTACCCTTTAAATGTGTCCCTTGAATTGAGTGTGGGGCCCCTCCTGCTTCCCTCTATCCCTCCTTCAAGCAAGGCCTGGGTTTGCAACCCCCCACCCCGGGCCACCCTGCCTAGCATGGTCCTAAGGAGCCTCCTGAGCCCTGCCCTGCTCTGTTTGTCCATGGCACAGACCTGGGGCTGGCTTCTCATGGCTCTCAGGAAATGGTGGCTTCCTCCTTCCTGCTGTTGGAAGAAATTTGGATCCTCAGTCCTGTCTCTCTGGGGCCAGTCTTGGCTCTAAAACTTTGAGAAAGTGAAAGTGCTCAGCCCTGGAAATACAATGCTGGCTCAGCCAAAGGTGAATGCGCTTAATCTTTTGGGGCCTCAAGTTTCCATTGCCCACAGTTCTGGAGAGAGGTGGTGGATACTTTTATATTTTCCTCTCTCCCTGGGAGGACATTTAGGGAAAAGACCAATTGAGTTTATTGTGTCTCTATTCCCTCATGCTCTGTGTCTCAAATACAGACACCCCAGTAGAACAGATCTGAGCACAAAGCCCCCCTATTGGGCCAATCAGGAATGACCAGGTCACATGACCAAGTTAGCCAACTTACCAGTCAGGTACTGCAGTGGCTTTTCTCTCAAAGGGGCTGGTTAATGACAGGAAATTCGAGGCATCCTAGTAGATCCAGCATACTATGAACATTTTAATTTTAAACTTTATTTATGAATAGGTAATGTATTTCCACATATTTACATACTTCAATGTGTTAAGGATATAAAAACACATACAGTGGGAACACTCCTACTTTTGAACCCCATCTGTTCTCTTCCTAGGAAGCAAGCAGTGTTAGCATTTTCTAACATATCCTTCCAGAGAGGTTGTATATAAAGAAATACATATATAGATAGCCTCTTTCTCCCCATCCTTTTGCTTTTTTCAAAAGGAGTCCTATATGGGTACATAAAGAGCATCCTCGTTTGTTTTTATGGCTCTGCTTCATGATGTATCAAAATATACTTAACCGGTTTCCTAGTAATGAACATTTAGGTTGTTTTCAGTCTCTCACAGTGCTGCAATGAAAAGCCTTATAGGCCCTGTAAGACCCCACTTCTCCTTACACATGTCTCTTAGAAATTCTTCACTGGGGGTCCAGGGGCCTCTTAGAAGTCAGCAGATATAGAATTCAGTGAGACAAACTCAAGGAGCCTGGAAACTTAGAGGGGAAAATGTTTCTATCTTTGTTTGGACTAACCTCTAACTAAAATTTAACATTTCCTTCCCTTATGAATGTAGGCAGCAAACTCACAGTAGTTAGCAGTATCTGTGACTCTCTCGTTTTATATGATTGAAGATATCTTGCAATATCATTTACACTTATGCCTACTTTGTCATTGTGGTAGGGAGTTATTAGATTTTTCATTAGATATGGTTATATTATATATTAATAAAGAAGAATATATATTACTATAGCACACATTTGGTTTTCTAAAAGAATATTTTAATATCTGCATTTTAGTGTAATTGCTTTGCTTTGTAATCATATGGTTTTTTATTTTGGTAAATTATGCTTAATATAAAACTTACCATTTTAGCCACTTTTGAGTATACAATTCAGTGGCCTTAAGCACACTGACATTAATGTGAAGCCATCAACACTATCCATCTCCAGAACTTTCTCATCTTCCCAAACTGAAAGCTCTGTACACGTTAAACCACAGGTCCCCAACCTTTTTGGCAACAGGGAAAAAGTGTCCACAGAAAGGGGTGGAGGACGGAGCTCAGTCAGTGATGAAAGCGATGGGGAGCAGCTGTAAATACAGATGACGCTAGTCGGCTGCTCACCTCTGCTGTGCGACCCACTTCCTAAGTTTCACGGAAGACAATTTCTCCACAGAAGGAGGAGGGGAGGCGGGGCTTAGGCTGTGATGCACAGTCGGCTTCCTAACAGGCTGTGGCCCCCGGGTTGGGGACCGCATCATTAAAACAATGACTCCCCCATTTCCCAACCCTCAGCTCCTGGCAAGCACCATTCTACTTTCCATGTCTATAATTTCGCTATTCTAGGTACTGCATATGGCTGAAATCATACAGTATTTGTCCTTTCATATTTGGCTTATTTCACTTAACATAATGTCTTCAAGTTTCATCCATGTTGTAACATGTGCCAGAATTTCATGTCTCTTTAAGACTAAATAATATTTCATTGTATGTATACACCACATTTTGTTTATCTTTTCATCCATCGATGGACATTTAGATTGTTTCCATCTTTTGACTATTGTGAATAATGCTGCTATGAACATTGGTGTACAAATATCTCTGCTATCTCAATTCTTTTAGATATATACCCAGAAATGGAATTGCTGGATCAAATGATAAGTCTATGTTTTTGTTTTTTGAGGAATATGTATTTATTTTTATGCATGAAAAACATGATTCTGAAATAAGCAGTATACCAGACTCCTGATATACATACTTTACTTTGCATGCCTGTTTCGGCCACTAGATGGGGGACTTCTTGGCAAGGACTGTCCCGTTCCCTGTGCCTTCTTTAGTAATTCTCCCAAAGGTGTAGTCTTAGAAAACGCATTCGGCTCCTAGTGGGCGCCTTGCGCGCCCAGCACGGGGCGAGATGCAGGCGATACACAGGTACAGAACATACCCCAAAAGAACTCAGCCTAGAGGAAGAATTAGGCCTTAGGATGGCCGATTAAAGGCAGCCCAATTCCCGACCTTATTGCTTCCTAGGTGTACGGCCTGGGGCGAGGAAAACTACCGTGGCCCCAGCTTCCCTATGCATAAAATGATTTGCATCATCTGCTCAAATTTCTGTCATGAACATACAGCCTGGCCTTTAGCACAGTGCCAGGCACGTGTTAGGAACGCAATGATTTTTGTCCCTGTCCCCAATAGCAAGAGAAAGAAAGCCCTGTCGGCAGCCCGCCAGAGGCTTCTGGAGAGGTTGCTGGGGTCAGGCTCTCTCTGGCCCTGGGTACCCCTCAGGCTGGCGCAGGAGTGCGCAGGGAGGGGCCAGAGGCTACACTTCGAGCCCCTGTTGGGCGCCTCGTCCCTCCCCAGGGGACTGTGCCCTCCGCGGAGCCGCGGTAGCCTGGCGGTCCGCGAGCGCAGCGCCGCACAGAGCAGCAGCCGTTGGTCCTCCGCGCCGGCGGGCGGCGCTACTGCAGGCCTGGCCCGGGGCGGCGCTCGGGCCGGGCTCCTCTCGGCGGTGGCGCACGGCCGTCCGGCCGTCCGTGGGGCGGGGACGCGGCGGCGGCAGCGGTGGCGGCTCCGTATCGCCGGAGCCCAAGCGCGCAGGCCCGTCCCGGCGGCCGGGGGGCGGGCGGGGTCGGAGCGCCATGTGGTTCATGTACGTGCTGAGCTGGCTGTCGCTCTTCATCCAGGTGGCCTTCATCACGCTGGCCGTCGGTGAGAGTGTGCGACCCCGGCCCGCGCGGGCTCCCGCCCCGGCATCTGTGCTCGCCGGGGATCGTATCGCGGGGGTTCTGGAGCCACTGGGGTCCCCTGCCCGGCTCTCCCGGCCTTCGTTGCTCCCCTCCCATCCCGCCTGGTCCTGCCCCTCCTCCTGAGCCCAGCAGCCCCGCCCGACCGCGGGTCCTTCCAGGTGTCACAAAGTGCGCCCCAGCAGTGCCCGGGAAAGGCTGACTTAAGTGTCCCTGCCCGCGCCTGGGAACCGCCAACCGCTGCCTCTCCCACTCTCGCGGGCTGACCGCGCCGAACTGATCCCCGACACCTCCCGCCGCCCTTTCACCTCTGGCCCTTGGTACATGCTGCTCTCGCCGCCTTTGACACTTCCGCCTCCTGACTTGTACCTACTCGAACGCTGTTGAGATCTCACTTCCTCTGGGAAGCCCTCCTTAGGATTTCGATGGTCCAGCGGTGCCCTCTACTTTCCCTGAAGTAGTATTTCTCACTCTGGGATCATCTGACTCCCTTCCCTTCCAAGCTGGGTCAGGGAAGGGATCTTGTCTGTTTTGTTCTGCTGTATTCTCAGCACTCAGCCCAGCACCTGGCTCATACTAAGTGCCCAATGGGAATTTTGATTGAATCAACGAAATTCCACTTTTCTGGGCCAGAGGTTAGCATTGTGCTGAGGCGTCAAATGCAGGCTTCCCCTGAATTCCATACATTTTTATGAAATTTTTCCTTTAAGTTTTACGTCTCCAGATTTGGAGGGGCAGTACTTGGGTTTGGTTTGTTCCTAACCTTCTGCAGTCCATGAAGGGTTGATGGGGACTGGGCTGCAGAGAGAGGGATGACCGGGATGGCGGGGGATGACCCTGGCTGATGATTTCCCTGCTTGCTCCTCTCCCCATCCCCCAGCGGCTGGACTCTATTACCTGGCAGAACTGATAGAAGAATATACAGTGGCCACCAGCAGGATCATAAAATACATGATCTGGGTAAGTGGCAGCTTTCTCCAGGATTCCCCCTCACTCCTTTGCCCTGCTTCAAAAGAAGGAAGTGGGGAAAGTTTGGCATGGATGATGAGACCTCTCCATCTGCTGTTTCCAGAGGGTAGCACTCCTACCTCATTGCCCTGAACCCTGTCTTTTGGGTCTGTTCTTCTGGGTCCAGATCTTCCCTGGCCTCCTTCCCTGAGTAGCATTGCTTCACTGCAGACCTTGTTTTCTGTTCTTTAAGGTGACAGCCAAGTGCACATTTTCTGTTGACAGGACCATGGCTTTGGGTTTGCTTGGCTTTCTTCCCCTTGCTCTGCTCACAGCATTTAGAACTTAGAAGAACCCTAGGACAGTTGAGTATTTGTTCATTGCTCTCTTTCTAATTGGATCAAGTGATTTGCTAAGAGGGGAGCACCTTCTGTGGCGCTGGCTCTGCCCACTGTCTGGTCCCATGGGAAGCTTCTCTTCCTGAAGACACAGTCCTTCCCACTGATGTCAAAGCCAAGGAGTGACTGCTGGTAGAGAGATTTCCTCCAGTGACAGGAAGGGGTGGGGGTGGGGGCACATTTGGACAGGAAAAGTCCACTTCTCCTCAAGTTACCTGATGTTAGCAGCCACTTCTACTCTGGGCATGGCCTGAGCTGGGAGTTAGTGGTGGAGGCAAGAGCATGGCCCTTAGCTCTGGGATCAGAGGTCCAGCTTGTGGGTGTTGGCACTGGAATTAGACTGTCATTCAGCCAAGTGTCATTTGTTAAACACTGAAAACTACTAAATCTTTTAGAATGGTGTTTTTCAAACTGTAAGCATGATTTATTATTGGGTTATACAATTCATTCAGTAGGTTGTAATCAGTATTTTTTTTTAATGGAATAGAAAAGACTAGAAACTTTAGTCTGGTCGTGTGTGTGTGTGTGTGTGTGTGTGTGTGTGTGTGTATTGGGATCATAGTGTAAAATGTTTCTCTTAATGTGGGTTGCCATCAGAAAAGTTTGAGAAATGGCATTAAAAGATGCAGCCTTTTGGGAGCTGAGAGTCCAGCTGGGGAGGCCAGACCTGTGACTGAAACATGAACCTGGTACTGCCTGGAGTGGAGTGGGGGTTAGGGAGCCCAGGAAGCTTGCCTGGAAGAGGCTCCTGCATTGTGTGCCTCTGGTCGTTTCAGTTCTCCACTGCTGTGCTGATTGGCCTCTACGTCTTTGAGCGCTTCCCCACCAGCATGATTGGCGTGGGCCTCTTCACCAACCTCGTCTATTTTGGCCTCCTCCAGACCTTCCCCTTCATCATGCTGACCTCGCCTAACTTCATCCTGTCGTGCGGTGAGAGGGGACAGAGTTGGGGAGGCAGCTAATGTGGTTGGATGTACCCATCACAGCCCCTGACACAAGGGCATACTCAAAAAGGAGGCAAGTCACAGGGTCCTCCAGGAGGTCTGGCTGATTGGGAAGATGGGGTTCTCACTTGTGAGTTCCCTAGAGCCCACTTTGGTTCTGGTGACTAGAATTTTGGGGGTCTGGGGGCTCAGACAGAGGACTCTCTCAGAGAGGTATGTCTGAAGAAGGGTTTGGGAAGGGAGAGAGGTGTGGTTTGGCCAAGGCAGGGCCTCCAGCTGAGTAGTTCCAGCCTTAAACAAACTACTGGCCAGAAAAAGCCCCAAGCCCTTCCTTGGCTGACAGTCAGGCAGCTCCCCATGCAGTTGTCTGACGCAAAGTCATGGTAAGACTGGAGCCTCATGGGGCTGTGAGGCCCCCTGCAGACCCCGGCCTGGTGCAAATGCCTTGTGGAGCTGCCTTTGCTAGTCTTGTTCTTCCCTGTTGCAGCTGCTGCCTCAGGGGTGAGGCCTGTGTGTGGAGGGTGCTGGCCTTCTTGCCTTTGCTGTGCTATCACTTTCTGACCCTAGGGAATCATTTGCCCTCTCTGGCCTTAGCTTCTCCATCTGTTCAGAAACGATGTTTCTGACACAACTGTTGGGAGACTCAGCCAGCACATAATAGGTGCTTATAGGTATTTATGCAAAAGGTTTGGAAAGTATTTGGTTACCGGGATTGCCATTTCTTCTGTTAATCATTACTGGTCATCCTAGCTTTTGGTCAGGATATCAGATAGAGTTGGGTTTTTGTTTTTTTTTTAGAGTTACTGTTCTTTTTTTTTCTTTTTTTTTAGACAGAGTCTTGCTTTGTTGCCCAGGCTAGAGTGAGTGCCATGGCGTCAGCCTAGCTCACAGCAACCTCAAACTCCTGGGCTCAAGCAATCCTGCTGCCCCTGCCTCCTGAGTAGCTGGGGCTACAGGCATGCGCCACCATGCCCAGCTAATTTTTTCTATATATATTAGTTGGCCAATTAATTTCTTTCTATTTATAGTAGATATGGGTCTCGGTTTTGCTCAGGCTGGTTTCGAACTCCTGACCTCGAGCAATCTGCCCGTCTGGGCCTCCCAGAACGCTAGGATTACAGGCATGAGCCACCGTGCCCTGCCTGGAGTTACTTTTCTATTATGGGAGAATTTGGAAAGAAAATATTATCTACAAGGAGGGTATATTGTTAAAGCTAAAACTGGTCTCTTTCCTGATTGCCTTCGTGTGATTTGACCAAAGAATTTGTTCAGCAGGGATTTGTTTGGGGAGCCCTTCCCTGGAGACCAGGCCCTTCTGTGTCTTCCCAGGGAAAACCTCCCTTTCCCCACACACACCAGCAGATTTCCTTGGCTTCCTTTTGTCACTCCTGTGAGCTGCCCGTTAGTTGCCTGAGTTTTTCCCAAAGATCTTTTGACACCAGGCACCATCCTATCTTCCAGCATCCCTTAGCCTAGAGTGCTGCTAGTCATAGCAGAGCTGTGGTCTTTGCCTTACAGGGGAAGGGGCAAGAGAGAAGAAAAGAGATGTGGTAGTTTGTGAGGTGTTCAGTGTCAGGGACACATTCTTTTTCTTTTTGAGACAGAGTCTCTCTCTGTTGCCCTGGCTAAAGTGCCGTGGCGTCACCCTAGCTCACAGCAACCTCAGCCTCCCGAGTAGCTAGGACTATAGGCATGTGCCACCATGCCCGGCTAATTTTATATATTTTTTTATTTATATATTTATTTATTTTAGTTGGCCAATTAATTTTCTTTCTATTTTTCATAGAGATGGGGGCTCGCTCTTGCTCAGGCTGATTTCAAACTCCTGACCTTGAGCGATCTACCCGCCTCGGCCTCCCAGAGTGCTAGGATTACAGGCGTGAGCCACCATGCCCAGCCAGGGACACATTCTTTCTGGTGCCTGCCCTCATCTTACCATGGGAACAGGCAGATGCTGGTCTCTGGGCATCCTGCCCCTAGGACCTGCCCCCACTTTCATAAATCAGTTGGACACCAAGGGAGTGTGTGTGGGTCTAGAACAAATCAGTTCAGGCTGCTGTACCTTACCCTGGGGCAAAATGGGGAAGAACCCGTCCCCCAGAATTTTGAGGAACCTAAGACCACCTCAAAGCATGTAGTGAACTGCCTTTTTATTTGAGGAGGCCTTCTCCCTGCTGCCCAGTTTGGAGTGGAATCTCTCAGGCTGTCTGATCTGCAGGCCAATGGCTTCTCTCCACCTACTGCCCATGGGAGGCTTTCTTTAGGACTCACAGCCACTGAAAACCAGGTTCATTGTCACGATGCTTTGGATTATGTAACATGGAAGTCTAATTTTTATAGCATGTAAAGAGCTTTATTGCCTACCTCTAAGTTTACTCATAGTGCCCTCTGCAGGGGGCATGCTGGGGCTAATTCTTCCATTTCAACAGATGGCAAAGTGAGTTTTAGAAAGTAGTGTGCTTGGCCCAAAGCCATACTCTGAGTTGGGTGTAAAGTCAGGACTAAAACTCGGGGCTCCCAACTCCAGGGCCTTTTAAGGTTAAAAGTCCAGTTTTATGTTTTTCACCCCCAGACTGACAGACTCTTCATTCCCTCAACAGGACTAGTGGTGGTGAATCATTACCTAGCATTTCAGTTTTTTGCGGAGGAATATTATCCTTTCTCAGAGGTAAGAGTGTCTAGCATATTCAGCTATTAACAAAGACGGGGGAGTAGAGGGGACCTACCTGATTTGCTTTGTGAACTTAACTATGATTTGAAATTGAGTCTATTCAGGGATTACATGTTTGAAAAAAGAAAAACATCATGTAGATGATTTTAGAAAGCAGTATGTATGAGGAACAGAGGGATCCCTTTGGCTGAGGTAGAGAGGACTTCTCCCCCAGTGAGCCGTTTAGGTCCCCCTGAGGGGGTCATCCTTAGGTCAGGAAGGGACACTGGACTTGTCTAACGCAGACCTCCCAGGGCATGGGTGGGCTGCACCCTTGAGCCCCAGCTTTTCCCAGTGGCCTGCCAAGATTTTCTCCTCCCAGAATTTCTCCACACCCTGCTCCTTCAGTTTGAACCCCTGGGAAGAACAAAGTCACCTTGAGGAGTGTGGGTCAGTCATGGCCTCACCCTCATCTGCCTCCTTCAGTCCAGAGGAGTTGCTTGTCCTAGTGACCAAGGTTTGTGGATAGTGGCCACATTCAGTCATCTTCAGCCTCCACCTTTCCCCACTGATGTATCTCCATGTCTGAGGATGTCCTGTCCCTGCTTCCCGGGCCATGGTCCCCTCAGAGATCAGGTGTGCCTTCTGTGTACTGTTGGCCACCTCTCCACAACACATGGTGACTGTGTTCAGCCCGCTCTTGGCACCTCCAAGGGCACCTTCTTCTCAGTCTCTCTTGTTGCCAGGTCCTGGCCTATTTCACTTTCTGCCTGTGGATAATCCCATTTGCATTCTTTGTATCACTTTCGGCTGGGGAGAACATCCTGCCCTCCACCATGCAGCCAGGAGGTGAGGAGGACTTGTAAGGGGCCAGGGTAGGGGGCTGCCAGCAAGTTCTGAGTTGGCTGGGGTTGGCTGGGAGGACCAGAGCCCAGCTCTGTGATGGAGACACTAGAGCTCTGGGGTGGGAGAGCTGTGTTCTCATTCATACACGCACATACACACACTCACACTCATCTTGCCTGTGTCTCCACAGATGACGTCGTCTCCAATTACTTCACCAAAGGCAAGCGGGGCAAACGCTTAGGGATCCTCGTTGTCTTCTCCTTCATCAAAGAGGCCATTCTACCCAGTCGTCAGAAGATATACTGACCTCCTTGGGGAGGGGATATAGGGGCAGGATCAGGAGGGCCTCTGTGCTAGGTGGGGGCTGAGACCTGGGAAGGTACCTTCCACCAGACCTGGCTTTCCTCCCCTCAACTCTGAAGCCCCATCCCCACCCCCTCGGGGGCTCAGTTTGGCTCAGATCTGATGCTGCTAGAGGCAGTAACCTCAGAGGGCACCAGGGAGAGTGGCAGAGCCTGCTTAGCCAGGAAGCTGAGGGCCCCCCAGCCATCTCCTCCCCCTTCCGAGGTGGATCGGGAGGTTATGGCCCAGCTAGGGAGGCAGAGAAGGGTCTGTGAAGCTGGAGAGCAAAGGGTGACAAGTTCTCTGGGCAGGTCGTTGTGGGAAGGGGCCATGGCTTGACATGTCCAAGAGAAATAGTTTTTGCTGTTGAACTGTGATCTCTGTCCAAGTGCTGATTCCCATGTGAATAAAGATTCTAGGCAGCACTGTTTGCCTTAATGCCCTGACAGTTCATCTTCCTTTCTTCCTGCTAACCTTCTGCCCTGGACTGGATTCGTTTTTCTGCTCCAGGGACTCCCTTTCTGGATTTGGGTCTTGCCCTTTCAAAGGGACTGTTTTTGTGGCCCTTAGTGGGAAGGAGGCAGAGGTGAGGTGCTGAATGTGGTCAGGGAGTGGGGAGTGGGCTAGAGGCAGCCTTTCTTAGGTCATGCAACTCCCTGTTCTTCCATCTCTTCTTTCCCTGAGGCTCCCTGCGAGGCTGGGGGTAGGAGAGGGAACAGTTTAGGACTGGGTTAGATTTTCAGAACATCTACAATATCCTATTTATAAATCCTCCTCTGGGGAAAAGGCACGGTTTCTGGCTGAATACTATCTCGAGCTCAAGGAGAAATGAAATAAAAATTGGCTTCTAGGCAGCCTGGGCTACAGCCTGTTTTTTAAGAAATGGGGCTGGTGGGAGAAGTCGTTTGTCACTCTAAGAGCAAGGTCTAGCCTTCTCTTCTGTGCATTCTTGGCTCCTGGGGAGATGATCTCTGCCTTCCAAGAAGGCAGGCCAGGTCTCAGGCACAGACCATTTGTTGACCTTGCACTCCAACTACAGTGCCTTGCAAGTGTTCAACGGTACATATTGGAATGAAATCCCCATGAGAGCCTTCACTGGCCATGCTCTATACCTCAAAGTGAGGCTGGCAGGTGCAGAGATAGACTGCTCACATGTAGTACCTTTAAGCCACTGGGAAGACCCCTGTGCTTAAAAATCTTTCCTTTCCGACATGCCTGAAGCCCATCATAGCCCTTTATTTCTTTAGCTTTAGCACTTGTGTTCTCTGAAGAATACCAGCTTTCCCCTTTCCCTGGGACGAGCAGCATTTGTTGGTCTTCTCTTGATGCAAATGAGGTTGTAAGGCCCTTTTCTCCTATGCAGACAGGACAGGCAAGGCAGAGGACACTGGAGGCCAGTGTCATCGTCTAGATAGGCCAACAGCTGGCCGTACTCTCCCTTGATGTCCACTGCTTTGTTCCTCAGCCTAATGATGTGGCTTCACCACCTCCATTCACTCTACTGCCAGTGTTCTCCCAAGGAGTTGCCAGTGGCCTTCTTGTACTAAATCCAGCAGATCGTTTCCATAGCTTACTGGATCTGGGCAGCATCTGACATAGCTGATCACCTCCTGCTTCGTGATTGCACTTCCTTCCCTGGCACTTCTGTGGCTGGTTGTCTTCCTACCTCTCTGGCTGTTCCTTTCAGCCTCCTGTGCAGGCTTCTCCACTCGCCCCATGCACAATGGGGTCTCTCAGGGTTCTGTTTTGGGCTCCCTGGGGAAGCCCATCCATGGAATCGAGAGTTGACCTCCAGCCCCAACATCCCTCCTACTTACCTGAACCACAGTTTGCTGCCTTCTGCGTGCACAGACAACTCAAGTTCATGGCCCAGATGGCACTTGTTGCTGTCCTCTGCAAACCTGCCCTTTTGGGTACCTGCCTTGGCCCTAACATCACCCAGGAGCCAGACAGGGAACCTGCTTTCTAGTCCTGCTTTCTCTTTTTGTACCCCTCATTCAGTCTATAAAAACTGTCAAGTCTATCTTCTTAACATCTCTCAATTTGAGCCACTCCCACTGTCATCAGCTTTCACTTGGATTATTGTAACAGCCTCCTGCTTCTCTATCCCACAGCTGGGGTTGTCTTTCTAAAATGCACAGTTGATCAAGTCACTCCCTGGTCTAAAACCTTCCATGGCTCCCTACTTCCCTCAGGATAAAGTCCAGACCCCTTAGCATGGCTTGTGAGACTCACGGTGCCCTGGTTCCTGCTTGCCTCTCTGGTCTCATCATTTGCCTTCTTGCACTCTGGGTCCCCAGCCTCCTGTATACAGAGATGCCATGGCTCTCACCTGCCACTTGGATTCCCCTTTCTTCTGCTCACTTTGGTACTTTCTCTGTCAAGTTGCAACTTGGATTTTACTTCTAAGGAGCTTTGAGTGTCCCTTCTCCCTCAACCCCACTCAGCACACCACACAGATCACTCTGGGCTTACTTGCCTGCTCTATGGTCTGTCCCTCCACTAGACTGTAAGCTCCTTGAGGGCAAGGACTGTCCTTGAATTTTTGTATTAACAGTGCCAGGCATGGTGTCTGGCACCTAGAAAGCACTCAATAAATGTTTGTTTAATGAATGAATTGTAGTGATGTGTACAAAGGATGGGGAAGGGGCAAGCAGGGAAATCATCAGTCAGGGTCACCACTGCCATCCTGATCACCCCTCTCTGCAGCCCAGTCCCCATCAGCCCTTCATGGACTGCAGAAGTACAAATGCTTTCACAGTCTGCAATTGAAGCCACAGATCCTCCCTGTCCTCAGATACAGCTGCCTGTGCCTCCATGAGCTGTAGAAACCTTAGTGGCAGCTGGGAATAAGGGATGGCAGCCCATAGTAGCAGGGAAACTCATGCCAAGGTGACACATTAGCTGTACTCTACCCCATTCTGGATTTGGAGATGAAGAGTGAGGCTCAGCATGCAGCAGGAAGAACTTAATGTGAACAAGGGACTGAATTTCCTAGTGGTCCCTCCATCCTGGAAGCCTTGGGAGGGCAATGGGGATGCCAAAGTGTCACTTTTACAATGCTAGGGCCCAGAATAGTGACTGACCCCTACTCTGAACCTAACTCGGATTTCCTGGGGGGGGGGGGGGGGTGGTGCTCAAGAGATTTGTTTGCAGAGAAAAGAGAAGCCTAGGGTCTGGGCTTTGAGTAGGGGGTTGGTAAGCAGGGGACTCCTACCCTTGAGCTTGGCAGTGGGAAGCCGGTAGGCACTCCTTCCCCTTGCTCCTCACCTACAGCGTGAATCACCACACCTCAGCCTCCACTGGGCTGCCTCAGGTGGAGAGGCTACAAAATAACTTTATGGGTTGATTTTAGGGGAGGGCAAGGCGGGGAGCGTTTGATGAGCTCGCACAGCTGCCAGGAAGGCTTCGTCAAATGTCTGACGCAGGTTCATGGCCAAAGTGTCTGTCCAGAAGGTGTCGTCACCGAAGTACCGCTTCCGGGGCACTTCCGTCATGCTGACGGGGTGAAAGCCCTGGGGCACCTTCATCCTGTATGGCCGGGCATGTGGGTACAATGTACGGAGCACCACCTCGAAAGGCAGCTGGGGCACGGGCGCCACCCAGTGGCCGTCCACCGTGCGTAGCTGCGCACTACCCTGCTGGTCTGGTGTCACCTCCAGGAATCTGCTGAAGTCATGCTCCAGGCTGGGGTCTGGATGTACCCCTAAACGGATGCCCTGCGGGAAGTTGATGTGAGTGCTGGGGTGTCTGGCAGGGTTGTTGCTGACATTCCACATCATGGGCCGCCTGACCCTGGGCTGTGGGTAGGTGGGCTTGGGCGGCGGAGGGGGCAGTGGTATGCATTGCAGGCGTGCTTCCACAGTGGGGTAGAAACCCTTAGAACACCGAGATCCCTGGTTCCCTGAGATCTTGGCGAAGGTGACGTCCTGGGCTCGCTTGGTATTGGGGACCAGAGAGTGACTTTGGTGCGGCATCTTGCAATGGAGCCACTTCTTGAAATCAGCTTCTCTCAGAATTTTGTGCGTTTTCTGCAACAACAGAGGGCACAAGATAGTCATGCAGTGCTGCCCCCCCTGCCTCTGTGGAAGGAGACTCTGTGGTTATAACCCTTGGAAACCTCCAGTCTGACTGGGGAGAGACTGTCCTTGCAGGAAAACCTTGCGTCCAATGAGAGATACATCTGCCTTATGGGAACCTTGTGATTGAAGGAGAGAACTTTTGACATAAGGGAGCCTCTGGGTTGATGGGGGATACAGTGCCTCTCCCATGGAGAGACCTCCAATCTGATGGGGGAGATAAGCCTCTACCCTAGGTGAATCTCCAGCTTGAGAAGTGAGATGGTCCTCACCCCAGGAAAAACCTCAAATCTCAAAAAGGGAGACAAGCTCCCTCCCCCCAGAGGAATCCTCAATCTGATAGTGAAGACATGTCTTGCCATAAAAGAGTCTCTGGTTTAATGGGGAAAAGGCAAATGAGGGCCAGGTGTGGTGGCTCATGCCTGTGATCCTAGCACTTTAGGAGGCTGAGGCAGGAGGATTGCTTGAGGCCAGGAATTTGAGACCAGCCTGGGCAACATAGCATGACCTGTGTTTTTTTTTTTTTTTTTTTGAGACAAAGTCTCACTCTGTTGCCCAGGCTAGAGTGAGTGCCGTGGTGTCAGACTAGCTCACAGCAACCTCAAACTCCTGGGCTCAAGCAATCCTCTTGCCTCAGCCTCCCATGTAGCTGGGACTACAGGCATGTGCCACCATGCCCGGCTAATTATATATATATATATATTTAGTTGGCCAATTAATTTCTTTCTATTTTTAGTAGAGACGGGGTCTCGCTCTTGCTTAGGCTGGTTTCGAACTCCTGACCTTGAGTGATCTGCCTGCCTCAGCCTCTCAGAGTGCTAGGATTACAGGCGTGAGCCACCGCGCCCAGCCAAGACTTCTGTTTCTACCAAAAAAAAAAAGAAAAAAGAAAAAAATTAGCCAGGCATGGTGGCATGTGCCTATAGTCCTGGCTTTTCAGAGAACGAGGCAGGAGGATCACTTAAGCCCAGGAGTTTGAGGCTGCAGTGAGCTATGATGATGCCACTCCACTGCAGCATGGGCAACAGAGTGAGACCCTGTCTCAAAAGAAAATATGGCAAATGAGAAGTGCAAAGTGTATCCTTGACTCTGGAAGGAGAAAGAAGAAAGGTCTGGAAGGCTTGGAATTGGGAGGAGCTGATCTGAGCAGACTTCTTAGAAGTGGTAGGCCTTGAGACATGTATGGAGGATATGCTTGGCCAGCTCTCCAGGCTGGGTGGCAACAACTAGATCTAGCTCTGTCCTTGCCTCCACTGGAGTTGAACCTTCCATATGTTGTCACAGAATCTCCCCTACCCGCATTGTTTCAGTGTCTCATTCTCAGACTTGCTAAGCAATCAAGTGCTTTGGAGATTGACCCAGCTCCAGGGGTAGGCTCTGATTAGGCTAAGCCAATCATAATAATTCCATCGGCCTTGCCCCAGATGTAAGTCAATCAGCATATGGCTGATTGAGGCCATAAGAGATGAGGGGAGATCTGCAAGGTGCTTCTGGAAAAGGTTATAGCCACAGGAAACAGGTGGGTTTTCCTCTTCTGGGCAGGTGTGTGACTGTGAGGGCTGGTGACACCAACAACAGAGGAAGGTAGGGCTGAGAAAACTGGAGAGAAATGCAGGTGAAACAGCTGGTGTGCTGGATTTGCCAGCACAGAAGCCCTCCTCACTTCAGGGTCCACTTAAGATTCCCAGCATCTTCTTTCTGGGTTTTCTGATTTTTGCATCCTGTGTAATTACACCTGCTTAAAATCCCCTTTCTTCCCCAACCATTGATCTGGTCCCCTGACAAATCTCTAGCTTGTTAACCTCCAACTCACATGTGCTCCCCGGCTATGCTGAATTTGCAGTTCTCTGCATACACCATGTGCCCATGTGCCTCTGTGCCTTTCTGCACAGCAATTCCCTATGCCTGGTCAGCTCTTTCCTACTTCTTCATTTGGCCAAATGCTGCCCATCGTTTTTATTTTTGTAGAGAGGGGGTCTTGCCATATTGCCCAGGCTAGTCTTGAACTCCTGGCCTCAAGCAATACTCCCATATCGGCCTTCCAAAATGCTGGGACTACAAGCCTGAGCCACCATGCCCAGCCCCTTGCTGCCCATGTTTAAGGACTCCTCTTAAGCATCATCCCTTCTGGCACCCTCCTGGGCCCTCTCCTCCTCGATGGGAGTACAACCTGCCTCCTCTACTAGACTAAGCCCTCTACTAGACTAAGATGTGGAAACCACATAATCTGAGCCTTGGGGCTTAGCAGGTGCCTAGCACAGAGCAAGTGCTCACTGTCTGTTGGAAGGAAGGAGTTTGAATCCCAATTACAATGCAGGGCCTTGGTCTCATTATAGATTCTCAGCCTGAAGGAGGCAGTGCACTAGGTGGGGCTCATAAATACTTACAAATTAAAGCTGTCTTTGCTTTCTAACACAGGACAAGATTTTGACCTAAAGGAGTGGCTTATAAGGGTGGAATTTCAGCCAGTCATGAGGAGGGGGAGGCTCTTTCTGGGTGGGAGTGCTTCTAGCCACTCCTCTCTACAACAAGTGGGTCACTGCCTCCTCACATGCCTGGGTGGCAGCTGCGGCCTGGTGTCCCTGCCCAGCTCTCCCTTACCTGACACTCAATCAGGTAGCTCCGCTCCATGAAGACCAGCTGGTCCTTGAGCCTCTTCATTTTCCCCATCTCACGAGCAAAGTCACTCTTGTCCCGTTTCCACATGGCATCCTTCAAGAACCTGGTGCCAAGATTGGGAGGGGGGCATGTCATTCCACAGTGACTGAGCTTCCATCTGGGCTGGGAAGACTGGCTGCTGCTGGCGGCCTGGAGGGGGTGAGAGGAGCTGCCAGAGATGATATGAGCAAGATGACTTGTTCTGACTGCCCAGGGGCCCTGTGGCTAACTACTTCCTTTGGAATGCAAGAAAAAAGTGTCTGGTGGCCTGACCACCACTTGCTAAGGAGCCCAGGGCAAAAGGGAGGGGTGATGCTCAACCCAGAGCCTGGGCAGGGGCCTCTTCAGCAGACTCATCTCCCAGCCATCTGGCTCCCCAGACCCTCCGTTTAAAGGCTCAGCCTTGGGTGAGGGCCCTCGGGAACGGGCCGGGTGAGAGGGAAGAGGTGGCAGGCTGCAGGTAGTTCTCACACTCACCGGGCACAGGCACGGTAGTTCCTTATTTTGCAGAAATCGATGGGTTTGAGGCCCATGGCATCTTGGGCATGGACATTGGCGCCACTCTGCACGAGGACCTTCACACAGCCCAGCAGGCCATGACGGGCTGCCAGGTGCAGCGGCGTGGAGCCCTTGCATGTTTGACTGTAGAGGGCCCCGCCAGGGGTGATGAGGGCAGAAAGGAAGGACAAAGAGCATCTGCTCATCAGACAGGTGGCATTCCAGTTTCCAGGTCCTGGTTTGCCACCAGCCCAGCCCACTGGGTGGCCCAGGCCATGTCCCTTCCCCTCTCTGTACCTCAGTTCCCTCTACTGTAGAAGGAAGGATTGGACTAAATGAACAATAAAAATCAGATTATGGAAGGTATGTGACAGTTAA